ACTATACTTATAGTATTCAATATTAAAACGTTTTCCACTACGCATTTCAAAAACAATTGATATTTGAATTATATAATATAAAACTACACGAAATTAAATGACTAAAACACTGGCAACTCGTATCTCGGTAGCATTACACGTTCAACTAAAGTAATATAATAACACAAAACGTAGCCGGAACATAAAACGTAGCCAGTTAATAAAAAACTTTTGGGATCACGAGTATCTTATCGAAATGTTTAAGATTAATCGTATCATCATAAGGCACTGCAAGTTACAACAAGAATGAGATTTAATGGTAGTACGTAAAATGAGTTGTCATTTTTCAGGTCAACATTTGTATTAATTGGTTTTCACCTTTTACGTTGTTTACAAACGAATTGCCAGTTTCTAGATAAAAAAATGTGTACAGTGCATAAACTAGCATCACCGAGCAAATATATACACATGCAACAAATCAAATAATTAATAAATTATCACGAATGATCAACCGTCTTCCGATTTGTTTTGTGAATTTAAATAATAAATTTGTTTAAACTTTCCACGAGTATCAGAAAATTAATTAATATCACATATAAAGGATATCGTTAAAAAATTTATTGGTAAACCAATAAGAACAAAATACACTTGAATTCACTTTTTTTAATGTAAAATTCAATGAACGTAAGACGTTTTGTAAGACAATTATTTTCATTTGAAAAATTACATCCGAATAATCACATTAAAACGGTTTTAAATGTCGAGAAGAAATAAAAAGTATAATGCACGAGATAGATTTTTTGTTTTTTTTTTTTTGTTTTTTAAATGTAATTACTTAAAGTGTGACAGTTTTCTTTTTAATTTTTAAACATGCGTAATCCATTTAAATGAGTTGTTGCGTAGAAATTTACGAATAAAGTCACATAATTTCATCTGAACAACTCAAACAACATTCGTATACGTAAAGATATATAAAAATATACCTATTCATCACAGATCTTTCATTATTATATAGTGAGACTCATTAATAAAGTAATTTAATTTCTCGCCTTCTGCTCAGAAAACCATACACAATGATTCGTATGACCAAGTTTTACTAGTACAAATACAGGTACTGCATTTCAAGATTTAATTTTAACAACTTGCTAAATTCGACGAAAATATCCGTAAAACATAATCGTTATTTTTCCATAATTTTCATCTGCTCATAACCGTTCCATAATAATCATATTAACATGAAATTGCAACTCGCTATATTGATGGTTCTCCATCCACAAACTTGGTGTTACTCGCGTGCTAAAATAATACCAACAACTAAGCGCAATATTACAATTACAATACATGTATACAAACGTGTATGTGTGCGTAATGTAACAATAAACGTAATATATTTAATTATGAAATACTCGTATTCGAAAAATATGCGAAATATAAACACCGCTCTGTAGCAAATTCAATTTCGAAAGAACTACATGTTCCATACACGATATAAAATTACGTAGAATAATACCGCCAATCAAATATTATTATTATTGTTTTCTTAATACACAAATTGTTTTCTTGGAATGCAACATTTTATCCTATCCCGAAGAGAATTATCTTATTTATTTTCATAAAACAAAGTATCCTAATTTTAGATCACACATACACATACAGCGCACACGGAGCATAATTATGAAGACTAAATAAATCTCAAATAAATGTTATGGAGTTTAAATAATATAAGTATTTCGTTAAACGTTTCATAAAAATCATGATTATAATACAATCAGAGATATAAATTTTTCGCTCAACAGATAAATATAAAATATATGTATATTATTAACCGTTAAACAAACAATGTGTGTTAATATAATCTAAACATTTTAGCATTATAATCATCATCAAATATAGATAAATATAACAATACTTATTTTTATCAAGATATAGCTAAAAATAGTTATATTAAATTTTATGTTGATAAAGATAAAAATTAGTAAATTTTTATCCAGATAAATATGAGATAATATCATGTTTAATTTTGAAAATATAATCAAATGATTGGTTAATTTAGTTGTTTGAGTACTTGAATCAACTTTTTTAACGGATTTTAAAAAAAAAAATAGTTTCTATACTAAATTTAAAAGTAAACACTTAAAAAAGCTTAAAAAACTTAATCTCTCGAGTAAAAGACATTTTCCAATCCACTGGTGTCCCATCCGGTGAACTCTCAGCGTGAAGACTTCAACAAATCAAACCCAAGCTTACACTCGAAGGAAAAGGTAAGTGGAATAACACATATATAAATCAATTAACAAATTAACAAATATTATTTCTCCCCTATTAAAACTCCTCTATGAACCCTATAAACTTCCGTTTATTTCTGTATCTCAGAATTAACCTCACGACCACAAATAAAATATATTTCGTAATAATATATTGTCCTCCGTGTACGTCAAGTGGCTGTTGCTATAGGCCAAACTGCAGCTGACACTCTACGTGTCTCGATAGGTTAAGCCAACTCATCTAGGTTTTATGTATTATTACAAGGTAATTGATTAATTATAAGAAAACTGCAAAGTCGCCATTCACAAATGGGTCCCCATCTCCAAGATCTACATCCCCTCTTTCATTATCACCTTAATTTCCTTTATTTTTGGTTTATTACAATATGGAAAAAATATAAATTTAGACTAATAAAAATTCTTTTTTTTTTAATTTATGTATATACATTTTATCTTTTTCCCCAGTGTGTGACGTGTTGAACTCAAGTAAATCGTTTGAATTTGCCCTTTTTCTTTCTTATTGTTGTAATAAAAAAAATTGGGTTTCTGTTTTCATTTTGATATAGTTGTGTGTGCGTGTATGGGTTTGTCATAACCCCAGTGCCACAATAACCGGGTGTGTTGCGTATATCAAATATACGGGCCCATGGTCCACGCCTATAATAAGGCTCAACGATAATATTTGAAAAATATGTAGAAAACAAGAAAATAAAACCAATTTGTAATAATAATTGTTAATGGAAATTGAACATTAATTGATTTATTTGGTTTCCTACACATTATCGTACATCAACGTTCAGTTCCGGATTAAACATTTGTGGGCTCCTGTGCAATTAAAATTTTGGGTCCGACAAAATTATTTTTTACGTACATCATTAACATTACTATCCAATAATTAAAAATAACCGACTATTATTAGTAAATAAAATCATGTTTGTTAAATTTTTATACTTGCAAGAAAAATTAATTAATAATTACATTATTTCTATTTTTTCGAAATAATTTAATTATTATTACTGCATATAACACTTACAAATTAATATATATTATATTTTATAATGATTTTTTATTCGGTAAATTCGTAAATAGAATACAGATATTATTAAATAGAAAAAAATATATAGTATTTCTTTTTCACGGGGCCCTTTAAATGAGTGAGGCCCTAAGGTGGGCGCCTCCTCCGCCCATGGATAATCCAGCACTGTCAACGTTTCATTTACGGTCTGTATAATAGAAATTCAAAATAGTTTGTATACAATTGGTTAAAGATACGGTTTAACAGTGGATTTTGAACACGGGGGGAGGGCCCGATTCATATCATTTATACTCGGGCCCAAATTAGTGTAGCTGCTGAACTGGTCACAGCAAAAAGTCGAGATCTAGAAATATTGATAAGTGAAAATCTTCTAAAAAAAATGATTAACTTTTTCACACGTCACCCAGTGGCGTGGTTATCGACAATACTGATGGCATGGCTATGAAACTACATACCAGATACAATAAGGACTCTTTGGAATTTTTCAACCGCTGAAACGTCGATACGCCATGGTTCAATTACGGTTCAAGAATAATAATAATTATCTTGGCCGTAAACAGACACTTATTATTAGACACCCCGATACACGAGTCCAAAAATCGTGCGTAGCGTATGGTATACTTAGTAAACAAATAATATATTTATTATTTGTAATAAAAACCAACCATCTACGTATTCGTGATTCCCCGTTAATAATAATTCATACTTGTATCAGGAGTTCCTACCGCAGTCATTTTTCAAGCAAAAATCGGTGAAACTATACCATTGGGTATCGTAAAAACTAGAATTTCCGCTTACGGTCTGAGTCCATAAGTCGCATACAAAGATTGATTATTGTATGCTAAGACCTCAATGCATGAATATATAACGAATATTATACACAAGTATTATTTGTCGACATCATTTCCCCAAAGTAGATTACTGACGATTTTGGTGTACGCATGCATGTGATATCATATTATGTGGTATCTATTATTTGAAAGAAAATTAGAATATCTGCAAAAATAACCTGTTAGAAAGTACCATCTGTATGGCGGAATTCGATCAATAGTTATACCAAACTTTAGGATTACTTTAACTTATCCAATAAACATTTCTCGAAAATAAAAACACTTCGTTGTAAACCCGATAACTTATTCTAATTTTATTCTAAAATCCAAACGTATATAATATTTACATATATATGCGTGTTTGTGTGTGTATTTATTCGGAAATATCATAGTGCTCTTTTAATTTTAATTTTGAACATGTTGTAATAACTGTCGTGAGTTGTGAAACGACTCAGTAATTGCACAAATATTAAACTTTTTAACCCTAGCAGTATCGACAGGAAACACTCTAATATAAATATGACACATTGGAACTAATAAAAAAAATAATAATTATTATAAAATTTGTTGGCTTAGACCAAAATAACTATTTTTCAATCAAATGTGATTCCCATCTACATAAAATCCTTTATTAAACAAATCGATTTAATATGATGCTAAACTATAAAGAATTGTTTGATAACTGAAAAAACGCTTGTTTTCCAGTTTTTAACTAGATATATTCCTCTTCAATCCGAATATTTTTATCGAGAATAATATATATATATATATATACATTGTTAACAAAAATTATATTATTTATCTTAATCAACAACAGATTTTATAATTAATATAAACATACTACGATTTCTACGTAAATAACGATAAAAAAAATGAAGACATAATACATACTTAATCGTTTCAATTGTGAACTCCGACTTTTCGACCTCGGTTGTGACTTTGAGATTTCGGTCTACCTAAAAATTAAAATATAACATTATGTCAATATATTAAATGCAACTCGGTCTGTGATAATTGTGCGGGAACATCGAGATGCATCGAGATATTGTGTCAAGTTCATGTGAAACATTGGTCGTAATACTACAATAAATACGTTTTTCATAAAAAAAAATTAATCAAATCCGGGATAAAATTGATAAATATCAATACTTTGATTCTTAGTTTTTTTTTTTTTTTTGAATTTCGATCGACATTCGCCGACAGAGGCGAAAATGAGGGACGTACAACATTGATTAACAGCCTAACCCTCAAATCGACGGACATCGAAATATTTGGTATTATTATAACAAATATTTGTTCGATAACGTCACTGTACGAAAACGTTGTATTTTATATTTACGTTTGTCCATCATTAATATTATTGCACACGCCGATCGATAAACAATATTAAACATATTAAAACATTTTTCCGATGGATTTATTTTTTTTATTTTTTTATTTTTTTTCATTCGTCATCGACTGTGATTGACGAACGTTCGCTTACGCACTTCTACACGCCAATCCTCTCGCGAACCTAATTAGAACAAGTTTGGTATCGGACGAAAAATATAAATTCCATCGGTGTGATAATCGTACGCGAAAATTAAAAATCGATTACTTGTACTCCTGCACGCTTTTTCCGTACTAACCGAATCGTGCGCATTTCTGATTAGAATTAAACAAAAACAATATCAATCAGAAATCCAAAAATGTACAGCAATGTACGCATAAAATTATGCACCCGTTAACAATTTTTTGGATAAATGTGGTCTGTATTGGTTATTTGTCGGTTCATTAGCAATTTCAATTCAATACCATAATCAACCAATCGATAATATGTTAACAATTTACATGTTTAACTATAATTGCGCATAATTTATATTATATTATAATCTATTTAATTATAAAATAATTAATAATATATTAATATTAATTATAATTATATATTAATTTATATTTATCACGCTGATGAGCGATTCCGACATATCGAATTTTTGTAATTGTATTATCTTAAAATACGTAATTGAATACGAATTTTGTAAGCAAATCGGAAAATAAAATAATAAAACAAAGCAATACAAAAATATTAAATAAAAAAGTAAATTATGGCAAACAATGGATAGTAAAAGAAGCTATAGAAATCGAGAAAATGCCCCTAAAACTTTGTATGACATTCGTTAAGGACGGAAAATAAATAATGCGTGGAAATCAATTATCCGCGGAATAAATAAAAAAATAAAAGACGAAAAGAAAACAAATAGAGCAAAAAGTAACGTTATGCCAGAAATCACAACGAAAGAAACGAGTTCAAGTTTTAAATGCAAATATGTATTGATAAATTGCTCGAGTTGGAAAAGTTGGACTGGTCGCATTATCATATACGGATATAACTCAAAAGCTCAGACAAAAGAAAAAGCGGCCAGCTCGCGTAACTACCTGGGTATAACAAAAGATAAGGACGGCGCCAAAACTATAATTACAGATAGGAAATAATTAAAACGTGCAGTATTATATGTTCGAAAAAGGAAATATTATTCCAAGTTAATCAATGAAAACTCAAACCAATTCCTATATCATACTTAGCGATTGAAATTTAAGAATTAATTACGGAAAAAAGAAATAGTACGAATTAATGATATTTTTTACATTTAAATATTAAAACACTTTGACGGCTTTAAAAAGTAATGAACTCTATCATATGAAACCTTATATTTTACAAAAAATTATAAAAATCTCTGGAAAAAAAAACGAGCAATTAAAACATAATAAGAAGAAAAATATGTATCGATCTTTTATTTTTCAATTTATTTTTATTTAAAACATGTCTTTAGTATCTTAGGATAATTAAACCTTGCTTTTTGTCGTTAATTAAATGTGAAACGAACTTGTTTTTCAAATCCTAACATATAACTAGCGTAACAAAAGGTAATCATAGAACACATAAACTTATAACGTAATTCATTTATCTCAGCAATCCAATTTGGAGCGATGGAGCGAAATGACATATCACATGGGTATGACATTACGTATCACTGTAAGAAACAAATAAACTTTATAATAACCTTATACGTGTTTTGAATTTACTGTTTATTTCACCTAAGTCTTATTAGATTATAATTTATGTATTGATAACCCAGTTTTGACATTCGCATAGTATCATAATCAAATAAGCTACTCGTGCATTTCCTAAAGAACAATTATTTGTTGTTTATGACAAAATATTGCATTTTAACTGTAATTATGTTAAATAATTCAAAACATTAATCAGTATTGTAATATAATATATTTACACGACAGACGATTGAATCACCTTGGAGAAATATGAACAGACAAATAAATATTATAAAATATTACAAAATTAACAAACACAAAAATATTTGGTTCAAATTTAAAAAAAAATATATATATATAAACGAAAATCATTATTTATCATCATTTGATTAGTTACATAGAAAGGGATTACTTAATAATAAAACATTACACATGGTAAATAGCCTATCAAATAGTTAAAATATATTTAAAATATATCTTATAAAATTTTTGTGATGAACGCTTCAGAAATAATATTCATTCGTGATGCAGTTGCAATCATTTTTATAAAATTAAATTCTAATCATTTGGATTTGTAATAATATATTATTATTAGAGTAAAGCTTTTTCAACCGATAATAATTTAAAATAACTATTATTTTTTTTTGAAATCATAACTTACAATAATCAAAATAATTAGCTTTGATGTTGCATATAATAGTTATTTTTACTCAAAAATATTTTAGTTGGATAAATTATTATCTATAACAATGCTTTATATTTTTATCTATTGTTATTTGTGGGTGATTATAAAAACACAAAACGAATATAATTAGTATATAATATATCTTGTATATAATAAATATTATGTACAATATTGTTAGTTACACAATTAAGGGCATACACAATTTTCTTTTACTCGCGAAACCTTGTACTATTAAGGTAACAATTGTATAATTCTACTATTATGTCCAGTTTATATATTGAAAGCATAAAACGGTTATCTTAATATTCATGATATTTTAACTCAATCCATGTAATGTTTTTTGGCAAGTTTTTATTTTTTGACTAAAAAAATTAATATTTTCATCGGAATAAATTTGTACTCGGTAAGTTGAAAAAATATTATTCATCATTTTTACGACTGCAATAATTAAAAGTATAGTATTATTTTTTGCTTAACAATAGGAAAATATCGAATTATAACAATTTTGACAGAGCCATAATGCAGTTTATAATTAAAATATTACAGTTTAAGTGCAATTTACCCTATTACCTGTTGTACAATGAGAAAACTAAAACTATAATGATATGTAATAAGTTAGGTGTTATACAATAATAAAAACCAATCAATGACTAAGAAGAAATCACAGCGTTTAAATTTTAAAATTTAAATTTACATATTATTGCATTGATTTTCATAAACGTTTTTTTTTCAACTATTTGTTTGTAATAAGCGTCGGTTCAAATAAATGGTTGAAATTTACATAAAAACACAATACCATGATGTTAATAAACAACGAAAAAAAAAATTATTTTTAATCGATAACCTTAATTCCACCTCAGAAAACACTATTATTCACTGAATTGTTCTAGTGATTTTTTTGATTTTTTTTTTTTTTAAATAAAAATGAATTAGTGTTAACTGCATTTTTCATTTAGAAATTTTAAATAAATCAGCGAAAAATTATGTTTCTGCAACTAACACTATAATTAATTGAGGTAGAACACGATTTTATGTATCATCAAGTTAGAAGATTCGAAAGCCGAGAGCAATTGTCCTTAAAATGGATGAATATGTTATCCGTCAATAACAATCAAAAGCATTAAAAAAACAACCCATTTCCAAATATTGAACACGAAGACAGTGAATGTTCTCTACACATTGGTGTACTTATTTTGCCTATATTTTGCGCCGTATTGAAAAATAACCGTTAATATTGATAAAAAAAATGTTGCAAGTAGTTTTAAGTATTGAAACTGACTAATGAAACTGTAGGACATTTATAAAGTCTACCATACAACTTGAAACACAATCGACAATGGATGTCTGGCTTTGAATTCAATTTTAAATAATTAAAACGGTATCAGATTTTTTTAACGTTTGTTTAAATATTTTAACTTAGTAGTATATAATGTACTTACAATAAACGTAAAACTGAACTGTAATACTGATTTCATAAATCAATTAATCTCTAATTCAATTCCTTTAAACAATAAGATGTGCACTGAACACGTTTTTTTTTTAAAAAATTCATACTGCGGAATCTTCATTTAGGCTGCTAAACCTTATAAGAGATCTTTCTACCCGACTTAATATAAAGCAATATTAATGAATTTAGCATTGTAATTTACTTGCTCGCGTAACATAATAATACACATACTTATTTAAATATCTCAAAATGAAATTGTTTTATTAAGTTGGTACCTACTCAATGATATTTTATTCGTGTAACTCTAATTTTTTACTTAAACTTATAAAAAGTAAAAATTGATACAAATATCAATACGTCGAGAAAAAAAATGTATTTACAAAAATTAGATAATTATATTTATAAAATAAAAATGGAAGGTTAGGTTTTAATATATTTTTTTTTAGTATACCTAACGCGAATCACTTTTTAAAAATCATATATAAAAAAAATCAATTCAATAGTTTTTGATACACATCAATTTGAAAAGAATATTCCTTAGAAATGTTGCTTCTAAATGAGTTACTAAATCAATAATGTGCTTTAATGATTAATTTTATGATGTGTGTTGGTGTATATTTCATAACCAACTTTAACCAAAATTGAAAAACAAATTATTTCCAAAATCTGCAGCTCATTCAACGCGAAAAGAAGGACTGTTTTTAATGTAAAAAAGTATATATATTTTTTTTTTTTATTTCAAGTTGAAACTTCGCTTTTATATTTAAATTTAAAATCAACTTTTTGCTATAAAA